TAAAAATACTTTAATAATCATCTTTTGAAATAATTTTTGTTAGAAATTAATAATTAAGCATTATTTATAAATTTATTTTATATTAATATTAATTTTTATTGAAATGTATTCTATTTTTATTTTTTTTAATTATGACCTAAGTTTGAAATATTAATATGATCACAAGATGACTTGCAATAAAAATAAAATAGTGAGAAATAATGTTTTGAATACCTATGAATTAAGAGTGTAAAAAATTAACTAAATATTTTATTCCAAAACTTAGCGCAAAAACATATTCCTTCCAGCAATGCATCATATTTGAACCGATTGTGTGCAATTTGAAGATAATTTTTTTCTACATGGCGTAGTTTAATTCTAGCTTGGCTTTTTAGCATAATTCAGAATCCATTTCCTTGGATGCTTGAAGCATCATAAACATAAGGAGTTTGGAGTAGGTTTGTCGTTGTAATTTTTTCTTTTGAATAAAGTAAAATCAGCCATTAAATCAACTTGCGTTTGCACCTAGATGGTGGTCCTTTGTATATAAGAAATACGAAATTTGCTTAATTCCACAAATAATTTTAGAAGACTTTGAGGATGGTTAGGTTTTTAAAAATTTTTAAGACTCAATAATCAATGACAACTTGAACTAGATTCTCTTGGAAGTAAGGGAAAAGTTGTAGTGCAGAATGACTAAAGCCTAGGCTAGCTTCTCCATGATGGGTTATCCTTATTCCATAATGCTGAGTGTTTGCCGACATAGTCAATTTATCATTATTTTTTGTTTCTTCTTTGATCAAAGTATAATTGACCACTACAAGAGACAACAACTCATCTCTTGGTTGATGACTTCGGAGTAATGGTGATGTGGAAGGCAGTGTTTAGAAAAGTTTAATCACAGTTATCATTTCATTGGAAATGCATTTTGTTTTTTGGCAGTTTTGCAAATTTGCTAAGATTTATCTCTGCATTTTGAGATGAAATAACTTATTAAACATGCAATTCTCGATAAGTCAATTTTTTTTTGTGGTCTTTTATGGGGATCTCTAAGATTGCTTTTATATTGTTTGGATTTGTTTTGATGCTTAGAGGGTAAGCACAAAAATAAAAAATTTGCCAAGCCTAACACTATTAAGTATAACTTAGAGGGTTAAGAAGCATATTATACTTTTTGAAAGTTTAAAGATCTCTTCTAAATCTAGGATATATGTCAGAATTTTGTTTTGTACTAATTTGCCGCTAAGATGGAATGCAGTGCTTTAATCTTTTAATCTTTTATAACATTATCCATCTTCTTGTGTTAGGTCAAATGACATGACATTGTAACATCACAAACCATTTCTAGTTATAAATTCCATCTTCCCACAATTGACCATGTGTACTTTGGTTTGATGTTAACTTGAAAATATGTCAAGAAAGCTCATAATTGGAGTATCAACTTTGTAGTTGACTAGTGCATTTATTTGAAAAAGTGGATAACTATTTTTTAGGCAAGCTGAATTGATGTTTGTGATGACCACATAGATTCTCGTTTTTTAATTTCCATTTTAAAACATTGTCACTTTTGAAATAGAATATTTGTACTGCACCTCTTCGATAGAACATGATTCTATTATTTTTTGGACTTCACATCGAATGGGTCAAGTATGGAAGTAGCTACTTATTAAAGTTGTTGTTTGATGGACTCAAATTTTTCTATATTGAGTAGTCAACTATCGAACAAATAAAATTCTCAGTATTTTATTGGGGATTGTTGAGCATTTTTCTTTTTTCTAAATCAAAATCAAATGAAATGCTAATTTTGAGAGTAAAAGTTGTACTAAAAAATTTGCGACTTAAATAATCTTTGACATTTAATCTCTTCTTTGAACATCGAGTTGCATAACCACTTCTTGAACTTCAACAACTTTTCAAATAACATGCTCTATACTTGAATAGATTTTCTTGGATAGTGATGACTCATCCACCTTTTAACAATTTCACATTGAAATGGTAAATTGAAACTCTCTCTCTAAATGTGTTTAGGTGGGACTGACTAATGTTGCCAATGTCATTGGAGTGTCAATATGATGAAACTGACATAGCAATATATTTTCATTTTTCCTTTCAATATGTAATCAATAGTATTATCCCTTTTGTTTTCTCATGTTTCCTAAAAAATAAAAAATAAAAAAATGCCCCCCGACATTGAGTGTCGATAAAGAATAATGAAGGTTTATTTTCTCGAATAAACTTCAAAATCCGATATTAATAGGATTTTTTATGTGATTGTGGAATGTTGGCTATTGCAATCATGATGACTTCATTATTGAATTTCCATTTATTAGTCTATTTTAACATCAGTTATAGTAATTATGAAGATTGTTACAATTTTTTATGTGTGAGAGATCTTGATATTGTAGCCAAGTTAACCTCTCTCGACTAAAGTCATCTGACTCTTATTGCTTTGTAGCTTTTGCTTTTGTTACTAGAACTACCCCATTCAAAAGAATTGTTTATGAAAACTTTTGTTTATTTGTTGCTTTATTATTAGTGCTTTATCAACTCCTCTTTCAGGAATTTCTAGAATGATTTCCTTCATTTTCTAATCTTAATTAATTCTTCAGTTAGATTTTTTAAGTGTTGATAATTGTTTATTATGAAAAACATAAATTTTTATGGGCCTTGGGCATGGGCTTTAGCCCTTATTGGTGTTGGTCATAAAAAATAATCCATATCATGAATGACTTCAATAATTATAGACATTGAAACTCTTTGAGTGAATGTTGTGTATGGATGAGGTGGACGCCTCTTACTTGTGTTTTTCTCAAACTTCTTACGACACTAATCATGATGCTAAGATTATTATTTGTGTTGTTGTTACCATAGTTTCTTGACCAACCTCAAATTATTTCTTAGTCTACTTCGATGGTCCCTAGAAAATAACCTCGAGTTTCCTATTAATCTAAAATCACTAGTTAACTTTATGATAAAGCGATCAGCATGCTATTATATGCATCAGTATTTATATAACTATTGGTGAGTTTAAACAAATTGACCTTTATTCTTGATCTGATCGAGTGTGCATTAACACGGTCCTCATAAACCCAGAGTAGATAAAGCTTTTGCTATAGCTAGCTGCAATTAATTTACTTTACTTATGCTAAAAGTCCTTAGGGGTTTTCATCATTTTTTTATGGTTAATGGTGACTAAGAATTCGTGAAGAGCTTTTAATCACTAGCAAACTGAGCAACTATTAATTTTTTAAATTCAAAAAACGAAGTTATACTTTTATCAGGAAGTCAGGATATTCACCTTAACTATGACTCGAACATAGTAAAAATTAGTCAGCATTCTAAAGAGTCATTAACTTTCATTAGTTGTGATGATTTCAAGTAAGCAAAGTCTGCTAAATTCATTTTTCTCTTATATGAATAGAGGTTTTTTGATCTTTTTTGGAGGTAATATTGAGTAATTTTCCCATAAAATGAAATCGATGGCCCTTCGTTACACTTCTTGACCATTTGAGGTTGAAGTGTCTTAATACTACTCTCATGACGCCAAGCTTCTTTGATTGATGTCAGTGCTACTCAAACCTGGTATCTGTCTGTAAATGATAGATTCTAAAGTTCAATCTTTAGGAATTTCCTCAATTGGAGTGGTTTTTGGAACACACTTTAAAATTCCTTGACTATATCTTGTTAATCTTTCCTCCTTTGGTTTAGTTGTAGATTAATGAAATAGTTTTCTCCATTAGGGTTGATCTTTCTTTATCGTTCAATCGCTCTTTCACTTGAATTCGAATTATTGGCACTGATCTACCCTTGTTGCGCCTTAGAAGATGTTGGATCAAATCTTTTTATGGGTGACATGAGAACGTTGCTAACATGAATAGATATAGAACAAGTGAGAAAAGCGGGAGAGAAAAAAAGAACTTAGAGAGAGAAGCATTAGTATTACACTATATTGTAATAAAGTTCAATAATTCTGCGATTGATTGAATGTGTTAGATTCACACTTTGACGCTTCATTTATTTGTTTGAATTGAGGCAAAATGCTATAGGAAAGGTTGCATCTAAGCAATACAAGTAAAATTATATATAAGGATCAACAAATGCTTGCATAAAATAAATTTGTCTAGCTCTCTGCAGCTATCAAAATACATAAATAATTGATGTGGTATTAGTTTAGGTAGCTTGTAGCTATGAAAATACATAGAAAATTCATGACAAGTTTTAAAGATAGAAAATTCATGACAAGTTTTAAAGATGAGTTTGGGTCAAGTCATTGGTGAGTTCTTTTTGAGTTAGAGAGTATCATTAAAACTTGGGCAGTTGTGACTTAGGCTGCTTTTAAGAATTCATGTGAAGTCGGGGCCACGGAAGCATTTGTCAATGAGTATCATTAAAACTTGGGCAGTTGTGACTTAGGCAGTTGTGACTTGGGCAGTTGCCTCTGCCACGGAAGCATTTGTCAAGTATAGAGGAAACATACTAAATACTAATCTGCTTTGGCGACATGTACATGATAACTAGTTCATCTTATCCTCTGCCGACTTTAATTTGATTGGAAAACTAACTCTTTTCATCTGAAAACTTGCTTAGAATTCATCTTTTTGGTTCGTCACGGTTAGTAGTGAGACTTGGTGCCTTGGCAGAGGCAATACTGGGTGTACGGATTTGCTAGATTTTGTAGCTTTGTGCGCTTTATATTAAAAAAAAAATATTAATTGGTTAACATCTTGCATTATGCAAAATTTTATAAATTTATTTTAATTGAAAAATGAAATTTGCATTATGTAAACTAAGTTCAGGTGAGATTTTTGTCTCTTTTTTGACAATTGTATAACCTGAATAAACATTTTTATGATTGTATCAATTCTGCTATTGTTTCATATCTCCTCTTTTATATTCTGATTTGTTACAAAGAAGACATTCATCTCCAGTTACGTAGGAATCGATTGAATAGTAGCTAGCTATATTATTTGTTTAATTATGGCACCTTGTTCTACTTGTAACCTATTTACAGTTTGCTGCAGGCGGTAAACCTGAGAAGCTCAAAAATCTTGGAGGACCAGAGTATTCAAGTTTGTTGCAATTACATTATTGTTTTTATTTTAATTTTTTTAGTATTCTGCATCACTGAAGGCTCTTCTATTTGATATCAAATCTTAAACAGTCTTGCAATGAGGGACGCCATGCTGCTCTTGTTGAAATTCTGGAGATTTTAACCGTAGTCTGTGAGGCTCAGAAGCTACCTCTTGCTCAGACTTGGGTTCCATGCCAGCATGACAATATTCTTGCACATCGTGATAGTCCAACCTGTGATGGAAGTTGCATGGGTCACGTTTGCATGTCAACGTCTGGTGCAGCATTCCATGTTGTAGATGCTCACATGTGGGGATTTAGGGATGCTTGTTCTGAGCATCATCTGCAGAAGGGTCAAGGTGTTGTAGGGCGAGCATTTGCTGCCAAACACTCTTGTTTCTGCAGCGATATCACCAAGTTCAGCAAGACTGAGTATCCACTGGTTCACTATGCACAGATGTTTGGTTTAGGAAGTTGTCTTGCTCTATTCCTCCGGAGTTCCCATTCAGAGGATGATGTTTACATTGCAGAGTTCTTTCTGCCATCAGACTGCAAGGACCTTATTAGGCAGCGTGCTCTGTTGGAATCAATATCAACGTTGCTGAAGCAGAGTTTTCAGAGCTTAAAGGTGATTATTGGTGCAGAGGTAGAAGGTCAACCTTTTGAATTTATAGACATCATTTCCTATGCAAATCATGAAATGCAGCATGTTCAAGATGCATTGCCTACGATCAACACCCTTGAAGGCCTACATGAAAAGGAGTGCAAGTGTAATACTGATCATAGTACACCAGAACAGCATTTGGTGTCATGCATTAATTCTGATAAGAGCACTACCCTGCATGAGAATGGATGTATTCCTGCATCGACAATCATTACCAATGAAGTAGCAGGGAGGAAGCGAGGCAAGGCTGAGAAAATAATTAGCTTGGAGGTCCTTCAACAATATTTTAAAGGGTGCCTCAAAGATGCTGCGAAGAGCCTTGGTGGTAAGATTATCTTAAATATAATGTCTAAGGTTTACTTCAATATTTATGCTTGCTTGAATTTGGTTGTGGTAAATGCGGAAGATTTAATTGGTTTAAATTTTCATTGATTCTGGTGTATAGCTAGGCTTAAATAGAAAAGAGAACAAGGTGATCCAAGGTTTTCCCATGCACAACAAATAAATACTTTATTAAACAATAATGACCATAAGGAAAGAAAATATAATTAGACATGATCAGAATATTTGAATTCTTTTATCTTTATTAAATTCAATCATACACAAAGAAGGAAAGAACAATGCTTTTGTTTATCAGGTTGGATGAAGCTACAAAAGGAAGGAATGATGCGTTAAATCGGTGAGCTAGATAAAGTCAAATGGAATCCCCTTGGACAGTTACTAGTGGACAGATAAGGCAATCCATGCATTCCAACAACATCCAATACTCCCAAGGAAATTTGATGTAGATATCAAATGTTCTCAAGTTTTAGTTCTGACCGTTAAGTTGCCCTTAATGAGAATATCAGCTGTCTAAAGATTAGAGTGATTGTAAATAAGTTGGATTGTATTATTATTTGTAGAAATTTTAGAATAGAGCATAATATTTCTCATTGATATAAAGAAGGGTATTTAAACCCAATTACTGCGAAAAAGACATATTTTGCCATAAAATAGAGGGAGCATGTCTGATTGCATGCATTACTCAGAGAACTCACTTCCTCATTTAGAGGAGGGGTCGTGTTGAGGATGTCGCCCGTAGTGGAGTCAAGGTCCTGTAAGGAGGTAGCGGTTTTCAGAGTAGGAGCATTGGAACGGGTGCGCTGAGTGTAGATACGAATAGCGTGAGGAGGAGATGGTGCATTTACCGAATCAAGGGACTCCTCGATGACGAGAATAATGGGGCAAACATCCATAGGAATAGGATAAGGGATGGTGTCTAAAAACCCGAGCTCCCTGTCACCTCCCAAAAGAGGTCTTAAGAGAGGTGGGCAGCCCAGGACTTAAATACTGCTTTTCGGCCCTACACCTAGCTGATGTGGGACTATTTGTCCGTGACATCCCGCTCACTTAGGTCTAAGCTAGGAAAATAGGAACAGTTTCAAAGGTGGAGACATCATCACTCACATAGATTTTGTTAGTGGTAGGATCAAGATACTGATAACCCTTTTGAGTAACGGAGTACCTAAAGAAGATACATTTTATGGATTTGGGATCAAGTTTACTTCGATTGGGGGTAATGTTTCGAACAAAAGAAGTGCACCCAAAAATCCCGGGATCTACGGTGGAGAAGACCCGATTGGCAGGGAAGCATGATATAAGGACGGTTAGGGGGGTTCGGAATTTGTGAATGTTAGAAGGGACTCTATTTATGTGATAGATGACAATGAAAATGACATCATTCTAAAATCGTTTTGGGACATTGGATTGAAACATAATTGAACAAGCAACGTCAGGAAGATGACAGTTTTTTCTCTCGGCTATCCCATTTTGTTGACTGTGCTTACACGAGCTATGATGAAGAATGCTCTTACCAAGAAATCACCCATAATAGAGTTGAAAAACTCACGATCATTATCTGTCCGAAGGACCTGAATATGAGTTTTGAATTGAGTTAAAATGAAGCTGTAGAAGTTTTGGAAGGTGACAACAACCTTCAATTGTCTTTTAAAATTTAGACCCACGTCATTTGAGTGTGGTCATCAATCAAAGTCAGGAACCATCGTTTATTGGTGAATTAGGAGTGCGAGGTCACTGTAAATGAGAGAGAATGGAGCGGAAGGTGCGTGGGGTGGATAATAGACCTAATGATATTTGGCTAAATGACATGTCTTGCAAATAAAAAGCATCAAAGGATACACATTTTTTAAATATTGGAAACTAGGATGACCCAAACAACAATACAACAACATGAGACTTTCAATAACTCGAGATAAACTATAGCTCTTGAGAGGTGTGCCCTAACTCACCATATCATTCTCTTGGAAGTAGTTGAGTAGCAGCTCCAATCTTCCTCCCTGATGATCACGAAAGCACAATCATCAGAAGAGAACTTAGCCGCGTAATAAATATCATTTGTCAACTTGCTGACAGATAACAAGTTACATTGCAATAGGGGAACATGTAAAACAAGCTCAAGAGTTTGACCCGTTTTTAGTACAACCGACAGTTTAATAGCAATGGAACTACATGAGCTATCAACAATTCTGACAGTATCTTTCCCAGAGCACGGATGGTAAGTTGAGAAAGCTTGCGAGCATCCATTCATGTGATCTGTGGAACTTGAATCAATAATCCACGGTCTAGAGGAGGAAGGAATCGTGAGAACCATAGAAAAAGTATCTTGTCGGATGTGGGAGGTCGAAGCACCCGCAGAGAATTGATTGGCTTCAAGTAGCTTAATTATTTGTTCCGTTTGGTTTCTCAGGGATTCAGAGAATTCCAGGATGTTCCAGGTAAGAGTTGGTTGAATCATGGTAGATTCAGACATTGTCGTGAGACCCTTGGTAGTAGAGGATTTGGCCGAAGGTTTATATGCTGGTTTACCGTGAAGTTTCCAACATTTGTCCGAGTGTAATTGGGTTTTGACAGTGAACACAAGTGGAAGGATTGGTTCGAGGTGGTATGGACGAGGGATGAGCATGATTGATATGATTCTGGCTGAGCCAAAAGAAATATGGCCGGGATTCTGAGACATCGATAGATTTGTAAGTCATTGCTAACGGATGAGTGCAAGAAGGCTGTAGGAATGCTGCAAGGATGCTACACTGGATAACCCTCACGGAAGACTATTTCAGTGAAAAACTGTAAGAATTTTTCACGGGAGAGCTAAGGGGGTTACCGTTCATGGGAGACAACTGTGCGGGAGAATTTCCGTTGGATGGGAGCAGGAGTCTGTTGGGACCGGAGCGTTTCCACCAGAGAAGGGGCCGTGACAAACCAGAAATTGGTTGTTTTCTGGAGCAGCGGACTGAAGCAATTTGCTGCAGAAGGTGCAACGACATAACCTAGAAAGGGGAGCAGTGGATTGAAGCAATCCTTGGAGCAGCGACAAAACCAAGAAATTTACTATAGGAATGAGCAACAACAAAAACTTTAGCGAAATTCCAGGAAATTGGCTGGGGAATCCCAGGAAATCGGTTGAGAAATTCCAGAAAATTGGCTGACAATAAATCTAGGTCAAATGGTAGTAATTTACTGTAGGAAACAAGCTGCAAGAAATCCCTTGACGAGAGAAGGGTTGGCTGTTGAAATAATGTGTAGGCAATCCTGCAGGGAGAACCGACGACAACTAGGGTTAGATCTTGGCTCTGGTACCATGTAGAAATTTGAGAATATAACAAGTTATTTCTTATTGATACAAAGAGGGGTATTTCAACCCAATTACAATGGACTCAAATAAGGAAAGAAATAAAAACACAATCAAAGACATAAAATCAGAATAAAGAGAAAGGGAAACTATATAATGCATAATAATAACGGCTATTAAAAGTTGATAATTCTAATAAATCTAATATTATCAATATTTTCCTTGATGAACTGATGATTAATCCTATATACTTGGTCTTATCATAAAGGACACAGTTCTTCACATGTTGATGGTAACTTTATTTCCATAATAACAACAATTTCATTGGACTACTTGATGGTCCTTTTAATTCTTGTAGCATTCACTACAATCAAATTCCTTCACATATTCATTGTATAATGCCCTAAATTTGTTTCAATGTTACTTTGTGCCTTTACTTGTTTCTTGCTTCTTCATGTGACAAGTTTGCTAATTTAAGTGCGCAATATCTAATAATTGATCACTAGTTAGTGATAGAATGCCTAGTTAGCATCAATGTTCACCTACACATCTATCATGAGATAATATAGTTACTTGCCGATATTTTTCTTTAGATATTGAAGTGTTAGAAGTTATATTAGGAAATAATTTATTCACGTTACAAGTTATGAGTATTAGATTTATTTTCTAATATAACTTTATTTCCCATTATCATCTAGATTTATTTTCCTGGATTGAGTTTATTTTCTTTCCTATTTTAGGCTTTTCTATTTTATGTTGTTTTCTTTATCTCCAAATAATTAATATGGATTGATTAATTGGAGATATTATGTGTTATATCTTTTTTATTGTTATTTTCTATTCTAGAATTCATGTAAGGGTTATTTATACTCTTTCATTTCAATAAAAATATTATGCATTATTCTGAATTTCAACATGGTATCAGAGTCTTGGAAAAAAACTCTGGAGTCTCCAGCGAAGGAGAATATCTTCTGCCCCTGAAAACTTTATTTTTTCTTGCAATCGATAAACTTTCCCGCAGGGCCCTAGTCATCGGAACTCTTTCCTGCCGTCGGAACTCTCTCCTTACAGTCTTCTAGTTGTCGGAGTTCTCATTATTGTGATAATATTTCAGGGTGTACCTCATAACATCTAAATTATATATTCTAACCATTGTTGGAGTCTTATAGGTCAGGTAGCTATCTCATGTCTCTGATCTCCATCGGAGGTTCCACCAAACTTGGCTTCTTCTTTACGAAGAACGACATCCCGTCGACGATGCAACAATGAAAGTTGGCGAGAATGAATGTCAGATATGTGGAGATGCCAACAATCTTTTGTCGATGTTGCCTTCCTCTTGCTCATCTTCAGTTAAAAAGCTAGGGGGGTTACGGAAGATGATTGTAGGTGGTTGAGGAGGTGTCTCGAGGTTGCCGAGAATAGATTTGCTTTTGGTATGGGGATCATGGGCGGCCTTGCACTTTTCTCTATACTTGCTTAGCTGAGGAGTCGTGGATCTAAGAGCGTCTATGAGAGAAAGGTGTGGATGGTTACAAATGTGGTGACCTGGTGAGCACAACGAATGAGGCATTAAGTTATGGCTAATTTTTGGGGACCTTTGCTAGATATTTTGTTTCTGTGGATGAATTAATTGCTTCAATTTGGCGGCACAAAAGAACTGTAGGATGGAGAGCTTTTCTTGCAGGTGCTGTGGTTGG